CTCTCTCTCTCTCTCTCTCTCTCTCTCTCTCTCTCTCTCTCTCTCTCTCTCTCTCTCTCTCTCTCTCTCTCTCTCTCACGCACGCGCGCACAGCCCTATACCCAGATGCCGTTTTTTTTTCCCTTTGATTTTCTTTCTTTTTTCAGAAAAGAGAAAGGTCCCTGTTTCTCCATTTTCGTTTTTCTTTTTCTTTTCTTTTCTATTTTTCTCTCGTTTATTCCCATTTCTTTCTTCAAGCATGCCAGGCAAATAAGTGCCCGGTGGTTCGAGCCTCGGCACGGCTCGGCATACCAGTCGGCCAAGGCTTGGACTTTGTAGTCGGGCCACGTACTGGTGGTTTAAATCCGTTTTCATTCTAAACTTCATCATAGGACTGAAAAATGATGTGCGAGTCCACCCCACGTTGGCAATCTGTCAGATTGATCAAACCGTCAAAATCGAGTCCAAAGGAAACTCTGTCTCCAAAATAACAGGCACTACACGATGGGCCGCGGGCTATATTTAGACGTGGTAGTAGCCAACGATCCGGATGGGCTAACCTACGTCATTAATCTCCCCCCTTCACGGAACCCCCCCCCCCCCCCCCCCATTACGATCAGTTCCCCACACAGAGATCAACAATGCCACCACCCTCTATGGGGGGGTAGGGGGGGGGTGTGCGATTTCATTTGTGGAGCATTGCAACTGGTTGGTGCCAAGAGTGATCATTGCAAGCCCCCCCAAGTTGCAGAAGCAGGTTCAGTTCAGACTTCAAACACCAGACAAACCTGAGGTCATACTGCACCTCGGGTCTCGTGAGAGGGCTCTCCGTAGACCTAGGCTTACCTTAATCACTCTCGCCTTCCTGCCCGTGCCCTCCATTGGTGGTCCACGAGAGAGGAGCTGACTGCATACTGCACCTCGGATCTCGTGAGAGGGCTATCAAAGGAAGGCAGCAGTAGGAAGAAAGGGTACCTAAGATGACGTCGAACCCAAGGGGGGTTTGGGATTGTGAGGCCGAGTGAGGCTCTCAGCTGGCAGAAGAGGATCGGTAGGCACAGGGGCGAGGCCAGGAGGAGCGCAGCCCCATTCGGCAGACAAAAAGAGGGACCCAGCACGGCTTCCGGAAGGAGTGCGAGCAGCTCCAGTCAGCAGGCCCAAAGTGAGTCCACTTGGCAAGGAGGTGCCTGCCGGCCAAATGGAGCCCCGGATGCTGGCAGATAAGGAAAGGCCGGGATGCAAGATGCCACCAGGCTGCAAGAGCAGCAGAGGGAATTCGAATGCTCCAAATGATACCAAGTTTGGCACACACCAACCTTGAACAAAAACAAAAACAGGCAAAAAAAAAAAAAAAAAACTAGGCTACCAGAGTGGCCCGGGACCACTTGCCCGGCCAGGAAAAAGAAAAAGAAAAATAAATAAATAAATAAATTGTTTTTTATTTTATTTTTTATTTTAAATTTTGTAAAGAATTTCGATGTGACCCTGAGGCAAAAGTTATTCAGTTTGTTTTTCTGCATAACCTAGGCTACCAGCCGGGCCGCCCGGGTCACCCTGTTTTCCTGGGCGGCCCAGCCGTGCAAGGACCACGGAAGGTCCCAGCAAAAAAAAAATAAAAAAATAAAAAAAGTCCAAATAAATCCGAAACCAAAAAAAAAAAAATGCTATGCAGAAAAATAAACTGGACAACTTTTGCCTCAGGGTCACATCGAAATTCTTTACCAAATTTAAAATAAAAAATTAAAGTAAAAAACTAGTTTTATTTTTTATTTTTTATTTGTTTTTGGCCCGGCCGGGCAAGTGGTCCCGGGCCACATGGTGCCTAGCGCATAACTTTTTTTTTTTAGAATTTTTGGATTTTTTTTTTTTTCCTGGGACCTTCTGTGGTCCTTGCACAGCTGCCCGGGCAATCAAGGTGACCGGGCAGCCTGGCTGGTAGCCTAGCACAAAACATTAAAAAATTTGACTCCGGAGGCATCCCTAGCATTCTCAGGAGGCTCCATTTATTGGTTGGGAGCAGCACCTGCTGGAAACAGGGTCCAGCTATTGGGGTGCAAAATAGCTTTTTCCTGCAGCGGGAAAGAGAGAAGTGGGTAAAAGCACGAAAAGGCAAAATCGGGTTAAAAAAGAAAACGAAAAAACCTATTGCGATCTTTTTTCGATCCCCAATAATGGGCAACAAATTGTGGGACAAATTAACAAAATCCTTGGCAAATGCATTTAGCATATCAAACGTCAAATTTTCAAAGGGGGTTTCAAAACAAGAAGGGGGGGGGGGGGGGAGAAGAAAATTTTGAAACCTACTATTCACAGTATACTCCATGCCATTCCTCGTCGTCATAACCTCAGTCAGCGCGCACTGCATTTTTTGCACCATTCCCCCTGTCATCTTCCTGGCTTTGTCCTGTGGCCGGAAAAAGAAAAAAAAAAAAAAAAGCCCAGCGATAGCAGTTACAACGCCGATCGGCGATCACCAATCTCTTCGATTTTTTACATTCCCTTTTTCTCCCTTCAACCTCTGCATTTTATTAGGACAGGTGAACTTTTTTTTTTTTTCTTTTTTTTTTTTTTTTGGACAGGTGAACTTTCCAACTGTGATGCTGTCGGGAAACTAAGTGAAAAAAGAAAAGGGTGATTGCAGTGTACTTACTATGTACTGTGTACATTTCTTTTTTATGTATTTCTTTTCTTTTCTTTTCTTTTATCTTTTGCACTTGTTGCTTGTATGACTCTGGGCCCACTGCCGAAGGCAAACCACAAAGTCTACATTACACGACGTCTTTTTTGGGCTGCCAGGTGAGGAGGGGAAGAGCGCCGGGGAGGAAACAGGGGGGAAGGAAGGGGAGAGGGGAGGGGAGGCGGCTGTCTCTTATACACATCTAGATGTGTATAAGAG